GCTAGGAAAGCATTCAACGAAAAACCACGAACTCATCATCACATGGTGAGCAACATCTGAGTCAGGACTCCTCGGCAGTGGTCGAAGTTTGCTAGGTTGTTACAGACAACATGCCAATTTCTCTCGTTGAGAAGTCTGGTTTTCAAGCCTTGGTGTACCATCTAACATGCCGAAATAAGCCTCAGTACGTTATACCCTCTCGTCGGCAAATAACCCGGTAATGAAATACTGCTGCACCCTTTGTACTACTGATGGAAATCATAGTCAAGTCCCGGCCCTCAATATCCATCGATCGTATGTAAACATTTCAGGTGGCTCAGCGATCGATTGGATATCTGTACCGCTGGATTCAAGGGCCTACAGAACTGTGCAGCCATCGGAATCACTACGGATGTTTGGACGAGGGCTAACAAGGAAAGTGTAGTATTGGTGGAAAAACGACGGCCCTGAAAGGACTGACCAATTCAGGTGCTCTCCTTAGTAGCACACTACATTCATCCGGCTGATCCGGAGAACCCTTCGCTCACCGGCTCCTTACAAACAAGGGTCATCGGCTTTGAGACATTGAGGTCAAAGCACACGGCTGACAATATCAGCTGTCTTCTAACAACCACTCTCAATAAAATGGGCCTTCAAGGAAAGGTATCTCCTCAGACAGGCTACCTGTCATAGACATCCTCTAGACATGTATCGCTGTTCAGGTCGCATTAGCATGCACAGACTCTGGTAGCAATATGGTCAGATGTTTCTCGGATTTGGTCGCATCCGGCACTATGTGCCTTCTCAAACAATGGCTGCCCTGTGCTGCACACCGTTTGCACTTGACAGTGTGTAATGGTTTGGCCCTATATAAAACGAGGCACACTGAGAAGGCTGGCATCTATGGACATAAAACGGTAGAGGACGGTCTAGCACAAGCGGAAGAAGTTCTGAAGGAAATGGATGCAATGGATCCCACCGAGGGCGACAATTCCACTACTGTCAACACTGATGCGCTTCTTATGGAGGCAGAGGAGGACATTGAACAGGACGAGCCTGATTGGGGGCTTGAAGGAGATGATGAAGCATTCCGTGATGGCATCGAGACTGCTGGGCGGGTAACTCGCACCCAAGCAAGCGCTAAGCGCTCGGTTGACCGTGTTCGAACATTGATCTCACTGCTGCGAAAATCTACCACTGCTCGTGACATCATGAATGATGTGAGGGAAAAGTTCCCCCCCCGCTAGCAAAGGAGGGACGGCTTACTGCGGGGACACGGTCACCCGCTGGAATAGCACTTTCGCTATGATCAAGCAGATCCTTGATTACAAGCTCCAATACGAAGAGTTTCAGCGTGCGGTGGAATCGACATTGCCTCCGAACTCACCAGTCTATAAGGTAGTCGAGAACTGTCGGCTCAGCCACACTGATTATCGCGTCCTCCAAGCCGTGTACGATGCCCTC